ATACAAAAAATTCTATAATGATATTATTAATAATCATATAAATGACAGTACCAATGATGATGCTGAAAATGATAATCCTAATAATGAAATGATGGTAAAGATCATCTTTATCATCACCATCCTGATAACAGTGACTAGTGATAACAGAAAAAATGAGAACTAATAATGATGGTGATGATGAAGATGGAAAATAAGGATAATGGTATGAAAAATAATGATGGTAATGAAAAAAAATAATAATGATGGTAATGATAGTAATAATACTAATGATAACGAATCAGCACTTTTCTTTATATTGATATTAATTTTCATAAATTAATCTGATTATAAAGTTGTTATTATTAGGAGTATATTAACCATCCTACATAGATACTGTTTTGATAACGGTATGATAATATGGTAACGATAATGAGATGATGAAAATGATAATGTTAATAAGGATAATATTGATGATGATGATGATAATAATAACAAAGATGATGATGATAATAATAATAATAATAATAATAATAATAATAATAATAATAATAATAATAATAATAATAATAATAAGAATAAGAATAAAAATGAAAACTGGTAATGATAATGAAAATATTAATGATGATAATGACAATAATAATAAGGATAATAATAACAATGATTACAATAGTGACAATTTTAGAAGGTATAATGATAAAAAACTATTAATGAAAAATATCATGATTATAATAATGGTGATCATAATAATGACAATAATGCTAAAGTATTGAGATAATTAAATAAATGAGAATGATGATGGTAATAGCACCAGTGTTGATGGGAATGCTGATGGCGGTAATGATGATACTGATGATGAAGATAATACTGCTTTAAAGGTATTATTACTACTGCTACTGCTGCTGCTGCTATTAAAATAGACAGCAAAAACAATAATGATTACAGTAATGACAATAGCAATGATAGTATTAATAGTAACAGATGATTGTAAAATGATAATGAACGATAATAATAGAAATATGAACGATATTAATAGTAATGATAAAATTATTTAATAAATAGAAATAAGAAAAAAAGGATAATGATGGTAATGATAATAATAATTATAACGATAATAATGATGATAATGATAATAAAAAATAATGATAAAAGGATAATGATGATGATGATGATAATAACAGTAATAATAATAATAATAATAATGATAATAATAGCAATAATAGGCATAAAAATAATGATAATGATAACTATAATGATAATAATAAAAATAACAATAACAATAATAATAAGATTATAACTAATTACACTGATAATAATAATAATAATGATAATTATTATAATTACAATAATGGTAATTACAGTTATAATGATAATAATAATAACAATTATGATAATGATAATGAAAATAAGGATAGTGATAGTAGTACTAGTAGCAGTAGTAGTGATAATAATAATAATAATAATAATAATAATAATAGCAATGATAATTAGAAGTACTCGGAGAGCTATACTTCCGCCATGACGAAAGCGTCAGTGATGCATCTAAGTTGAGCTAAGACACATCTCTGGTAAAGAAAAAGTTAAAACCTGTTCATATTTTTTTTAGTCATCATGCACACTAACTAACTAACCAACTGTACCATTAACATAACCTCCTTGGTAGAGATAAAAAAAAGTTCATAATTATATGAGTTACCCCGCGCAGGATGCAGATCATGATCCGAATCACCACCAAAATTTTATTATTTCCAAGATGGACGTGAAAAAATCGTGAAAATCTGTTGATAACTTATTGAGTTATCCTGCTAATCAACGAACGAACGGACGAACTAGCCAAAATTATTACCTCAACAGAGGTGATACTGATAATAACAATAAAGATGATGCTAATTCATGTAGGGAGTAATTTATAGAAAAAGAGTATCAAATTTATGATAGTAAACAAATGTTACATATTCAGTAAAGAAACTATATTATACATTATATCTATGTTTCTGCTTATCCCTAGGATCTACGCTACAAATGTGTAACGGCCAGCACCTGTGAAGCGATGTCTGGAATCGTCCGAATGATGGAGTTGCCAGAATCAGACATTTCAGCGCCTGTCTGTATACACTGCGACGGTATGCTGCCTTTGATACGCAGAAAATGCTACTCCCAAGTTCATTTGAAAAACTTGATTTTTAGCCCTGCAATGACACAGAGAGTCTGTTTTCGAGGCCCAGCGCACTCAAAGTACTGGATCAGTGGTTTAAAACTTTCTTAGGCTCACAACTCATAAATCTTCATAACATCTGCAATATCAGTTTAAGAAAAGGGTAATTCAGGTACTTGAAATTGGTCATGGCTTCATGTTATATTCTTCTCTTAACAGGAACATAGTCATTATGTAAATACATGAATATGAGCAATCTTGCAAGCGAGCGAGCGAGAGAGCGAGAGAGAGAGAGAGAGAGAGAGAGAGAGAGAGAGAGAGAGAGAGAGAGAGAGAGAGAGAGAGAGAGAGAGAGAGAGAGAGAGAGAGAGAGAGAAGAGAGAGAGAGAGAGAGAGAGAGAGAGAGAGAGAGAGAGAGAGAGAGAGAGAGAGAGAGAGAGAGAGAGAGAGAGAGAGAGAGAGAGAGAGAGAGAGAGCGCAAGAAAGAGTTAGGGAGGGAGGGAGGAAGCTATGACGGCTTTGTAACTGTCGTTGGCCTCGGATAACTCGACAAACCAGATCTCGTTCTGGTGAGCCCCTCATACTTTCTTACTTTCAGCATGTCAGATCTCTTTCAGGCCACAGTCGACAGTGCTAAGTAATTACAACCCCCCCCCCCCCCACACACACAGTGGTCTTGTAGGATCTGTAGGGCATGCTTTCTTTTCTGGTTTCTTATATGTCTTTGAACTATATTTCTGTGCCTCAATTTATATCTTTGTAACACCCGTCTGTCATGAAGTGAGTGAGGCTATTTCCTAGTGTTATTATTTCCCGTGTTGCCTAGTGTTGTGTGTCGGGCGTCTAGGTCTGCCATAATGTAAACTGTTTTTGTAACCCTCAAAAGACTTAGTAAGTTAAGAAGGGAGGTAAGGTTAATAAAGTGGGGAGATAACCCAGGTGGCGAGTGATAAGAGGGTAGTGGGCTCTATGTGCTTTTATTTTCCGTGGTCGTGTATACCCCCAGGAATTTTTGCTCAGAATGGCGTATTTCTGAATTTCGTGTCTCTTCGTGGAATGAGATATTCTGTGGATAGAGAGGGGGTGGTAGCTGAAAGGATGTTTGTGGTGTGGCTGTGTCTTTTGTGGGTGAGGCCGTGGTCGGCTTGGTATGGGTATCATGGAGCTGCGGGGCTTAATCATGGATGGAGGGGAGGGGGTTGATGGAGCTGGTAGATGGTGTGGGTGTTGGGTTAAGGACATTCAGGGTGTTCCATTGAAGATCTGGTGTGTCAGTGATGAGCTCGGAAGGTGTGAAGTGGTAAGGTGTGGGGGGTTGTCGATCTTCAGGCCCATGTTTATGGTTGTTCTGATGTGGCCCAGTCAGTTCTGCTTAGATTCGGATTGATTCGCTGCTTTCAAGGAGACCCCTGATTTTGTTTTCCATAAGCTTTTTGTGTGAGGTGAACTAGAACTTTTATGTCTGTTGCCGGAGCTTTTAGTGAGCGTTTTGAGCGAAAAGAGAGTTGATATACATCTGGGACTTTATATGGGAAGGTGTTATTGGAGGTCTTATGGGGGAGCGCAAGCAGGAGTCTGAGTTGTCCTTTTGGTACGTTTTGAATAGGTGTGTGCCCTCGGTGGTGTGGTGTGAGCATCAGGGGAAATCGTTGTGGTTGTTTGGTTTGGGAAGGAGGGTATCAGGCAGCGAGCAAGCAGAAGTTGGTGGGACGGACTTCTGTAGTGCGTGTATAGAAGACGTGGTGTTGCTGCATTTTGAAATACTGAGTGTACAGGTGGAGGGACGATCGTGAGTGTATTCGCTTGCGTCGGAATGCTTGTATTGTGTGGAGATGGATGTGCAGAATTCGGATGATATTGGAGGAAGAGCAGTCACGTAGTGTGCAAGAGAATCTGGGACGTAGGGGATAGGATGAGGGAGGCTTGGTTCTCTGTGCTCATGAGTTGGAGGTGGGGGCATATGCTAGCCGCGGATATGGATAGATGGCAACGTTGTTTTGGCGGTCGGACGGGGCCGAGTTAGGTTGGAAGGAAATAAGTGGAAGGAAATGGGGACGGTACAAGAAGGTTATTTGGTCTGGAGACACGTGGGGTATGGGGAGTGCTCGGAATCGTGACAATGTAGGGATGAGCGGCATAAACTTCTAAGATCTGTCCTTGACACTTTTAGTTCGATTGTATGTACCTAGGTCTCCCGGTGGAGTTTGGCTACATTGCGGTAAGAGGTGATGGACTCGGAGAGTCAGTGTGGAGGAGGCCATGTTGAGCGGTGGAGTTCGTGTACCTGTATGTGCTGGGGAGTGTGAACGCGGGTTGATCTCGTGGTTGGCTAGTAATGGGATGTTGAGTCAATACAAGGTGGGTGTAGAGGAAGATAATTGGGGGTCGTGTTTAGTGGAGTGAATGACGTGGTATGTACTGGTGTGCCTCTAATTTGTTCATATATTTGTGGGAGGAGGTGAGCTGAGTCATTGTCCATTTCGATGATAGTACCGGAAACCTATTTAACGAAATAGAAAATCTGATATATGCACTATTAGGTGATCAATAATGCATGGGAGGTGTATTTATGGACTGATAAAAACAAAATTCTGGGAGAAAGCAAGTACCATAACTGGTATTGTATAGAATATTCACTGGCGTGCTTTTTTTTTATTGATTTCATCCATTATTGTTATTTTTAACTCACTCCTATCATGGTATCTATGGATGGTATTCCCTAATTGTTTTCTGGCTCTCACTTTGTCCATTAGAGCATAATAATGTCTGAAGTGAGCTCCGTGCCTTCAGATTGTGTCGAGGAAGTGGGTGTGTGTTGTATTTAGTCATAATGAACGTTTGTCTGGATAATTTCTTTAGGATATGTACA